GCTGTAGGTGAGAGTCAGCTCGGCCGTGCTGAAGGCCGCGGCCCACCACTACGGCGCGCAGTGCGACCGCCCCAACAAGGAGTTCATGCTCTGCCGCTGGGAGGAGAAGGACCCGCGGAGGTGCCTGCGGGAGGGCCGGCAGGTCAACCAGTGCGCCCTCGACTTCTTCAGGTGAGCGGGACCCCTCAGCGAGTCTCCCCCGGCGGCCGCCCGCCTCCCAGCGCCCCGGAGGGCGGAGAGCCCCGCTGCTGCGAGGGCGGAGGCCCTCGTCTGCCCTGAAGGTGAAGGTGTTTCGGGGGATCTCCCGGTGTAGCGCGCCCTTGCCGAGCTTTGTTATTCGAGAGCTGGCAGTCACTGGGTTTAATTAAAAATGCCGCCACCATCACGGCCTTCAAAGTCTTTATTCTTGCTTCATAAACTTTAACTCTTGGGGATAGAGGCCATGCCCGTTTTATTTATTTATACGTGAACTTATCCTTTCATAGGAAGCTCCATGGCCTCTGCTCCAGAGAAACTGGCTCAGGTTTTTGTTGGGTTAGCAAAGGAATGCTGGGGGGTGGTGGAAGTCTTGCTGCTGCTGTACCTTGCATCGATATTATGAAATCCAGGAAACCGACCTAAGCTTTGCATTGTCTATTCTCTCAGTTTCACAGGTGTGCTACTGTGCAAGCTCGAGTAGACACACAATTTACCTCTTGTGACCAAAAACGTAGATAAAGGCATGAGCCAGTGTCACGTTCTTAAGTTGCTAGCAGAAGGCCTAGTTTAATTAGCTTAAAGTATGTCCATTTCCAGTATAGCAGCTTGTAATCAGAAACCTCTGTCCTAAGCCTGTCTTCTTGAGCTTAAGATACCAAATCAATTTGGAAGCATTAGAGCATTGTATAATATACACTATGTTACTTAGCAAAACAAGCATCCCATATGGAGGAGCTCTGTACACCAACCTAACAAGAATACCTTCCACGTATGGATTAAGTTATTGCTATTCCTACTTCTAGCTACAGTGATACAAATTTTACTGGTATTGGTATCAAGTTCTGTGTAATGATGCATCAAATACTGACTTCTCTGAAGGCTTTAGGGGTTCCTGAGAACTTAAAACTACGAAACCACTTTATCACAAGTTAAAGTTTGAATGAGTAAGAGGGAAAAACATTAAAGCTGCAACACTTGCTAACAGTTTTCTTTCTGCAATCTTTTACAGGAAGATTAAGATGCACTGTGCAGAGCCATTTACTGAGTACTGGACGTGCATTGACTATACCAACTTGCAGGAGCTCCGTCGATGCCGAAAGCAGCAGGCAGTATTTGATAACTGTGTGCTAGAGAAGTTGGGTTGGGTGAGACCTGATCTGGGAGAGCTCTCTAAGGTAACGTCATACCTTTTTGGTCAGATAGCCAGATTCTTTTTTCCCTTAGGGACATTTTGTTCAGTCCAGGTCTCAAACTCTTCTCCTGGCCAGAAGGTGATTCATGAACTCAACACTGGAAGCTTGAGGACTTTACTAGAAGTCAAGGCTCTGTCAGTGTTCTCCAGGGTTGCCTTCCCAGAAGACTTGCACTTTTCTTAGACAACGCCACTTACTCTTACTTTTTTGCTTTTCCTAACCAGAGACCTTTCCTTTAGGAGTGAAGCTCACACACATGTAGAATTACTCTGTAGTTATGAGTAAAATGCCCCTACCCGCCCTTTTTTTTAGAAGTACTCTGAAGATAGGAGCTGTCAGCAGATCAACAGTGTTTCCTTAGTGGTGTTTGGTACTTCTTGGTAGTTCTTCCTTTAAGTTCTGTCCCGATCTAGCTTTTCAATTAAATGCTGTGAGAAGTTGTATAATTTCTTCTTTTTTCTCTCCAGGTTACGAAAGTGAAGACAGATCGTCCTATGCCTGAGAATGCCTATCACTCTAGACCTAGACCAGAGCCAAATCCGCCCATTGAAGGAGAGCTGAAGCCTTCTCCGTTTGGCAGTAGGCTCTTTTTCTGGTCCTGGTAAAGTGGACAGGCTGTGCTGTAACTAAAGTGCAAAGATGTTACTGCTTGCAAATGTAAATTGTCCAGTATGTGTTGGGTATAACTTTAATCATTAAAGAACCCCAAACCGTTACATGGCTTAGTAGACTTCTTTAAACATACTCACACATCATAGCAACTAAAAAATGTATTTCCCTGTTTTGCACAGTGCTGTCTGCAGTCATATAGCCCTTAGGACCAGCTTAACACTAGTAATGTCAGTTGCTTGATAGTGGCTACCAGGCTTGTTCGAGATGTGTATAAATGTAGCCTGAGACTTTGACTACTGTTTCAAGCAATCAAAAACTGGTGTGAGACTTCATTTATTTACTTATTGAGAACACTGTCACTTGGATTGAGGAAACTTTGAGAACAAACAAGTTGTTAGTGTCTTCCCTTAGTCTTGCAACTGCTAATTGTGCATTTTTTCCCAAGGGACGACTTCTGTGTAGGTTTAACGTAAAATCTGTCTTGGAGCAAGGATTTAGTCTGAATCTGTGGCTGTTGCTAGGTATGAGGTCAGTACTGTTTCTGACAAAGATCCTTGTTCTACTTGCCAGCTACTCATGCCTCATGCAGGTAGGTTAGTGGCTTTTTTTTGGGGGGGAGGGGAGGCGGGGGCAGAACACAAACTACTTCATCAGAAAAATCACACTAAAATTTCAACACCTTTAAGGAAAAATTATTTCCTAAAGGATCTTCCTGACGCATTAAGCAGTGTAAGAAGGTGGCTTGTCTTCTGTCTCAAGGCCCTGACTTAAGGGGTTTGGGGCAGATCCATCCCATTGTTTCACCATGATATTCTTTTTTGATAGAGGAGTAAATCAGCTTTCTTAAATTTATCTTTTGTACAATATCTAAGTGATATGTTTCACAGGAAGCAGATCTAGTCTTTCCTCCAGTTCCACTCAAGAAGCAAGAACCTTATTACAAAGGTTAGGAAAAATCAAATGAATTTGTTTTCACAAAGCCATGTGCAGTTTAGCTTGCTCCAGGCCAGATTGTGTAGCCTGAACATAGCAAAGACTTGAATAGTGCTTTGCTCCTTGAGCAGCCTAGCCTTTATTAGGATCTGAAGATTTACCATCTTGTTTGGGGTAAGATTAAACTGTAATGGGTCTGTAGCTGCAGCATATGTTTCTCATCCATGGAGCTAGAGGGAAAATTGTATAACATTTATCTAAAAATAGCTCATGCACTGTGTGGCTCATGGGTTCTTGCTACTTCCTGCTTGGGTGTGTTGACTGAAACTCCAAGCAGGTGCTGTGGCATACAGGTTTGCATTTTAATGTACGTACCACACTGTCTTAGCAGCTTCTTGTCTCAATCTGTGAGATGGTGTGCACCTTTGCAGTTTCTCCTTCCAGATCACTGCCAGCGTTTCAGAGCAGCCACGTATTGCTGAAGAAAGGTAACCTCTTTTCTGCAGAGATTGAAATTAGGACAAACTTGAGGTCTAATTACGTTCAGCTGAGTGAGTGAAATGAGGTTTGGCCAAGTAGAGGATAAATTGTTCTGGGATGTTAACACATGTCATGTCTGATCTTTTGTTGCTGACCCACTCCAATAGTTAGGCAACTTTGCAGAAAGACTTTTTAGGTATTACTTACTATGTTTTGCTAATAACTTACTATTGTCAGCATAATGTATGAAACATTGCACTGCTGAACATCTGCTTTTGAATAAACAGGCATGGGCATTCCAGTAGTCAGCCCCTAATCACAATTAAAAAGTGTTTTTCCCATTAAATTGCTTCTGAAAAGAATGACATGCATAAATAGGGGGCAATTTTTTAAACAGCCTTTTACAGACCCCACCCTTAAGTTGGCTAGTATTGTAAGCAAAAAAAAAAAGTGATTTATGCTGCAGCCTCAAAGGTTTAAGATTGTTCATCTGTTTCATGACATCTGAATCTACTACCTCTTGGGTCAGAGGTGGTTGATCCAGTAATAATGCACTGACAACGTTTAAAAGTCAGAATTAACTATCAGCTTGCCTAGATACCCTCTTAAGTTTCAAGCAGGAGTGGGCAGGTGAATGTACAAAAGAGAACAGCAGAGGAAGACAATGAAGTGATAAAGTCAAGCAGAATTCAGCTGTACTGTGAGCATTTCTTTCATTAACCTCTTTGAGATTGTCTTTATCTCTTGGCTGAATCTCTGCAAAAAAGTGTTGCGAGAAGTCTGTTTCTTGGTGCTTCGAACAGTTCCTGTATGTAGCTATTTCTGTTCAAAATCCTGTGGCTTTACTCAAATGTAGATGCCCCCTTTGGAGCTGTAATGTTTTCTTGGAAACTTCAGAACAAGTGAATGTCAAGATTGAGTAAAGACCATAAAAGTATTTTTGAGGAATGTATCTTGACATTTTTTTGGCAGATGGAGAGCAGACGCGTACAGATTCAACACAGATACTTTACTGGCCATGTGAGAAGTATTATTTGTTATGTTGTAGGCTCTCAGCTCTGCCAGAGCTTCTAATCACGTGTCAAATGTTAAGCCAGTGTCATGGTAGCTTGCCACACCATGGGTTAGATGAGGCAGAACCTGCTCCGTTCTTTCAGATTATGGATGGGAAGGGTAAAATCCTAGTGTAATTTGTAATCTCAATAAGGTAGGAGTGTGCATTTCTGATGCAGCACAATTGTGTGGCACTAGCACAACAGCATCCTTCTGAAAAGGAAGTCCCCCTCTAAGACACCTGGCAGTTTGACTTACTCTGGTCTCAAATGGTTCTGCTTAACTCCCAAAGCAAAAGGGCTGGAGAAGGTGTACTGTTAGCCAAAAAGGCCAGGAGTCCAACGGCAACTGCCACTCCACTTATAGCCATCAAATCTGAGCAAATGGTGGGAAGTAATTGCTTTTATTTAATGCTCTTGTGAGTTTCATAGTTCTGTTGCATGTCATATTATCACTCCTGCTAAAAAAGACTCCCAGGAGTCAGTTCAGGTGGAACTAGCCTTGCAAGCAGTTGTAAGATGAGATTGGTTAGGGCAAAAACCATTCGCATACTCCTCTTCCTCTGCCTTCAGTTGCAATACGGTTCTAGAATGAATGAATAAGGTAACTCCCTGCCCCCTCCCCTCCAAGAAAATTAAAACCTGCATCTTTATGCAAGGATTCATAATTTTAAAGAACCTTGACCTTCAGAACAAGGATACTCCTATAAAGCCAGAGAAAAAATTTAGAGCTCAGGATAACTTTGTAAAATCCTTTTGAAAGCTTGCTGTGTACTCTTGTACTAGAAGCGTTTTGAAACGAATCCGTCTGGATATTAATAGGAGATTTAAGACTCCCTCTTGTGGCTGCATTAAGCTGATCTTGGGCATCTGTGTGAAGATTTTGCCATCAAGAAAGTCCTAAGGCTACTTCAGTATTGCTAATAGAAACTTGATTAGGTCTTTTGTCTCTGCTACAAAATTCACTTGAACGTTGTCTCAACTTGATTTTTCCTACATATGAAAAGTCTTGAATTCAATATGGAGTGAGAAGAGGAAGAAAAATGGTTTGGAAAACGTTCTGATCACCTCAATCACATTTGATGTGACTGAAGGAAGTTAAGGCAGAGCCAAAGTAGATGGAGGTGGTTGGGAAACCCCAGTGTAGATGATATTTGCTTCCCTGAATCCAGAAAGGGGGCGTCCCTGGTGCTGCAGAGAACAGGATGGTTCTGAACCTGCGGGGCCAGCGGTAGCAGTGTGACAGGCAAACATGGGAAGCAGGTTAATTGCAATATTTAACTTCATGTAAAAGCACATTATTTCTTTTTATTAGGAATAGACATGACCTTACTGAATGGTCTTAATAATGCAACCTTGCCCTTCTGTTGATAGTTTTACGTTTTTTCATGTGAGCCCTTCTAGCTGGGGACTTGATCTGAGTCTGTTCTAAGACATCTCTGCATGGTTGAGTGTGGTACAAATAGTACTTTGGCAAAGGGAGAAGATCTGAGAAAATACAGAACAGCAAACTAGAAGCAAAAAGTCTGTAGTATTATTTTGGATATGAAGGCAGTCAATCAACCCAGCAAACAAAAGCAGATGCTGAAAGCCGGGTGGTTCCCAGACCCCAAAGGCAGGGCAGCAACACAGCTCACTCGCCTGTGCAGGGTTATTCCTGGTTTTGGTTTCTTCTTCAATGACAAGCTTCTCCACTCCCTTACACGTGTTGCAAAAGCTTTGGCAAGCCTAATGCATGCATGGGTGCAGGGTTCTCTTGTGTGTGATGTCTGTGCTTGATGAGAGCAACGCAGCGAGAGCAGGCAATGAGGAGAGCTGCATTGCCTGTGTGCTCCGAGTCTGCCTGGCTGGTTGAGAGCTGCTCCAGGCTATCACAGGGCTGGGACAGAAGCAGAAGCTGCTGGACATAAAGAGCTTTGCTGTACCTGACTGGATCCAAGAATAAGGGCTCAAAGAAAAGAAAGGAGCGCATTTAATAAGGTAAAAGCTCTTCTGTCTTGCCTACATCCCAAGCATCTCCCCATTGCTGCTGCCCTCGCTGCCTGTGAAATAGCTTAGATCACGTTTGTCTGTTGCAGACGCCTAAACAAAAGGATTCCAACCTGCGTGTTCCTGTGCTCTTGGCTGGGCTGGCAAACGCAGATGGTTCAAGTGAGTGTTTCGTTCACGCTGTGTTCTGCAGCACAAAATGGCGAACAGCTTTTGCTGTTTTTATAGGGTTTAAATTAATTTCTCCCTTCACACCAGGGGAAATGAGGGCTGGGAAGAACGGCCATGCCTGTTGCTTTGTTAAGCTCGGCTTTGGCTCCGATTCTGGCACCAAGAATGGAAATAAAATACAGGGAAGGGGAGCTTTATAAAAGAGCTATGGGTCTGCTCCCAAGTTGATAGGTTAAACTGCACAAAACACTGACTCTGAGGCACTGCTCTAATATTTGTAAAATCAGCATGGCAGCTCTGTTAAGGGCTATGAGTCACCCTGAGGGTGGTTCAGCTCTTTATAAGTAGTAGCACAGCCTTCTGCTTCCATGCAAACAGGAGCGAGAATTTTAATGGAGTCAGAATTACCCCTTTGGTTAGAGCACTGTCTGACCTCTGCTTTGTTCTCACTGCCTCCTGTTTACAGCTGTGCAGAGAGT